CTGCGAAAACGTGGTAGGCCTCTCATAAAAAAAAAGAAAACATTGAGATGCAGTTTGACTCCCCTGGGTAAATAAGCAAAATAATCTTAACACTAATTCTGTCCGGGAGTCCGGTTCGGTTGGTATGTACTTTTGGAAATTTTACTGATTAACTTTTATTATTTTTGCGTATTTATTTTTTCGTGATTTGCTTACCTTTCCGGTGGTTCGCACTCACTATCGTTTGTGTACTGTTTGTTGCTGCAATGTTCTGACCCCGTGCCCCCTACTGGACACCTGTGAAAGAGCTTTAACGGCTCATCGGATTTCTGATTCAGAACATTGTTTCTCAGAAGAAGGCATTTTTCTATTTTGAACTTAGCCAACATCTTTTACCCGACCCCACCTCCTCATGGCAAGTCTGTAAAAGCGCCTTGGGGGCCGTCCATAAATGACGTCACGCGATTTTGGACGATTTTTGACCCCCCCCCTCCCTCGTCACACGGCGTCACAAAAAGTCAGACCCCCCCTCAAATATGACGTCACAAAGCTCTGCCCCCCCTCCCCCCCCCAAAAATATATAAAACATGCTTCAAATCGCTTTAAACTATTGTTATTGTAGAGCGTATTTAATGTGGCGCTGCACTCTGATGTTGTAGGAGAAAACATTTATTTTAAAAAGTATATTTAATTAAGTAGAACGTGTTGTCTATATTTATTTAAAGTTGCGCATTTTGATGTGACGTCACAATTCTCACCCCCACCCCCTCATCACACATCGTCACAAATGTCTGACCCCCCCCCCCCCAGGTGCGTGACGTCATTTACGGACGGCCCCTTGAACGTTTATGAAAGTAGCCGCTATATAAGGTAAACAGGGACTCCTCCTCTACTTACGAACATTCGACTTCCGAACTTTCCGAGATACGAACAAACCTATCCGTATGTCGGTTCAAACCCAGAGTCGTAAGTTCAACCGCCGAGCAAGCAGATGGCGGTGGTAGCATCCACACCTGCAGAAATTGAAGAACCAGTGGCATCTATTTTTAGTGGCATCTACACTACATGTACAGGAGTTTATACAAATTTGTAAGCCATTCCCCGTTTTTAGTGTACATGCAATACGTGTTTGGAATCGTTGGACTTGCGAACAAATCGACTTACGAACAGACCCCTGGGAACCTAACTCGTTCGTAATTAGAGGAGTCCCTCGAATTATAATTATTCACCAGCACCCACTACTGCCTCATTCATTCGACAGGGCGCGCGCTTCTTGAATCATGGCCACGCCCTCACAATAGCCCCGCCCTGACATTAGCCCCGCCCTGACATTAGCCCCGCCCCTACACCCCCCCCACCCTACTCCCTTACGCCCCACCACCATCCATGGAATCCGCCTTAAGCCTCCTGTTGCCCCATCCGCTAGCGAACCGCACCTTGCACAAAGTCCTCCCAGCACAGCACGCGCGACATTCAGGGCGCGATGGCTACCGCCCCGCTATCTCGTACGTCCGGAATGTTCGGCGGCCGCCGATGACGGAGGATGGCGCCGCGGGAACGCGGATTTCAAAACGCGATTGTTTGGTGGGGGAACGCCAATGGCGGGCGGGTGCTTTCTGTGGGAGAACCGGATGGAGCGATCCGGCAATCCGATTCGTTGACTCGATTCCCCAACGGCGCGCGTAGGAATGTAGCCCGGTAGTCGATTCTAACGGTTGGAATCGATACCTATTGGCGATGCAAGCATTGGATCGCTTGTGTTAATCGATGCATATTAACCGCAGTTGCGCAGGACTAATATTAGGATGTATAACAATGTGTTACTCATACTCTGGTTCTTTCGATAAAGTCACGTAGGTATAAAATAAAATAAATACCTACGTGACTTTACCGAAAGAACCAAGAATATGAATCCCTGCAGTCACGAAAGCATTGAAAAATGTGAGGTGCATTGAGAAATGTGATACTCCGACTGATGCTCCTGTTGTTTGTGGAGTGACTCATGAAGCCAGCTGTGGCTCTGGGGTTTGGTGTTACATGTTATTTATGTAGTTTATTGTTAAAAAATTCGGTCACAGTTCCTATGATCACTGTTACATTGCATTTATGGCTTTATTTTGGTGATTTCTAAAACTTTTTTTTGTTTGTCCATGTTTTTGTTTATTGTAGTACGGAGTTAGACTGATGGCCTTAATCTAAGTTTTCTTGTTGTTGTTATTGTTGGTTGACTTGCATCCCACTGGGAATTTTGCACACAGCGTTGGTGTACGGTGCTATTTCAGGAATATTTTGATGTTTTTTTTCCTGGATTTTCTGTTTGCACAGTCACAAAGTCACTTTAAGATGTTTTCTTGTTCATGTTTTAGTTTTTTTGTTTGTTGCGGTTGTACCCGATTCAAGAGCCGAATGGCTCACAGGGCTGTACCAAAATAAATGAAACTATGAACTATGAAACTAAATCGAAGGTGTTAATATGTTAAAACACCAAACTGAATTATTTTTTCTAGGAATTCTGTCTGCATTAACCACACGTACTAGTGAACATGCAAACAAAAAAACACGCTCACCGCAAGGATTCCTCGAAAGAAAGCATGCTGGTTGGTGTTTTAACATCTTCACACCTGTTTTATTGACATGAATGTTATAACTTGTTTAACACGTAGGCTTTCGCGACCAATATCCATAATAGAGTTTTTTTGGGGTTAGATCGTGTAAATATATAAATGTGTCGTTAAAACCCGCCACCACCCGACACAGCCAACTAGTAAGGGTTGTCACGTAAACAGAACGTGCCAATTCGTCACTAGTACAGCACACCGGTGTGTTGGAGAGCCAAGCCACAACATTACAATCTGAGTACGACGTTTCGCCAGTAATTACAACTAGCTTCATCAGGCTAGTTGTAAATCTGAGTACGACGTTTCGCTAGATTTAATGGCTGTTTTAACGACACACATGTATGCGATCTAACCCCAAAAAAACCTCTATTAGGGTAAAACTTATTGTTATATTTTGATACTGGCAAGAAAGGTCCCTGTGGGATTTCAGTTCTAGGCAGAAATTCCATTCAAGAAACTTTTATTTTAAATTGGAGTGAATGTAATGGTTCCAGGTGGTCAATCCTCCCTCCATATTAAGAAACATGCGCTTAGACTATTTAGATTATTTTGCTATTTTGCTGCTATAAATGTCCAAATGATAAGCCACTTTTGTTGAATCTTAATACAGAAATAATTAGCCGAAGTATTCCTGGCTTTGCGATCTTGCATTTGCTTTCAAATTCCATCTCTAGCCTCCCCCCCCCACTCCAAGCGTATATAACCTGTCGCTGTAGTAGCTCTGCCTTTGGCTGCAGTAGCTCTCTCGCTATATTTCTACCCCAGCAGTCCGCCTGCTGCATTTGTTCACCTGAGGACGATTGCTCGTGTTGCGATCGAAACGTCGTGTTTTTTTAAATAATTTTATTATTTTTCTATCTACGTGACTTTACCGAAAGAACCAATTAATACACTTTTGTTGAGCTGTCATTTCTGGCCAGGTCGCTTTTGAAAAATAAGTTAATACCTCAGTGGTCCATACTCTTTGGTTATTTCGGTAAAGTCACGTAGGTATAAAATAAAATAAATCACACCTCAGTGGCCTTTGGTAGGATGGGGATGGTTTAGTTTTGTTTGTACGTGTTTGGGTGATGTCTTTGCCTTTCTTGTACTTTGCACTCCAATCGTGTTTGTGTATTGTGTTTATTCCTGTAACGTTCTTGCCAGCCCGACCGGACGTCTGTGGGAAAGAGCTTCATAGCTCATCGGATTCCTGCAGTATATTTTTAATTCTGATCCACTGCTGGATGAAGGCCTCCCCAGAGTGATCACGGTCTCACAATGCAACAAACATTATCTCGTGCCTACCACCCAAGATAACTTCGCTTCCATCTCTCTTATTGTAAGAACTAATATAAAAAACAATAAAACAGTAATATAGCTCAACTTCGAAGAAACTGACACGTTTCCATCCCGTTCAGTTATATCGTACTGTTAAATATGGATATAAAATGTAGCATTCAATCAAGCAAACCGAACTAGATTGCTGGTAAAATTCCAGTTTTCATATCCATTCCAAGTTTTTTCTTACTTGCCTCTAATAATTTTGCAGCCAATCCGTCTCGAATAATAATTGCCTTAGCTATTCATGCTGTAGTCTGATTTATTTTCCAGTTGTGTCCCAACAATTATTTTAATTTGTTTTACAACAAGTTTGCTCGACAAATATTTAATTAAATCGTGGCAAGTTACGGATTCTCAGGGGAAGATCAATGAATCCTCGATTTCCTAATTTCATTGTTACAAAATAATAACACTCAACCTTGTGGCAGTCCACTGCTGGATGAAGTCCTGCCCATGCTTTGTGTTGGTTATGTTTCGGTTGTTTGACCATAACTAAGCATTCGCCATGCTGCTCAGATAGGGTTGGTGATGTGGGTCGACCAGGACTGGGTCATGTAGCCCGCATGCCCAGCCACAGCTTCTGTTGGGCTAGATAGAGGGGGGCTAAACGGGCACTACATCGGATGGAGAAGAAATTGACTGATGTGATACGAGATGATGTGGAGTTCACTGGACTTGTCGACGACTAGTACCAGCGGTGTTAAGATCGGCCTCACGTGAAGGACGCTTCTGGGCAGTTGGAGGCATTCGCCCTCCAGCAACCACGGAGGGCAGAGGAGCGACGCTCATAACAACGAGCGTTGCGCCGGGCCGATAACATACAGCAAGTTGGCACAGTAGGGTGGTGCATCTGCCATAGCAGCTATCTCAGTCAACCTATGGCAACCTGCACGGTCTGTCCCGTGACCTCCTGCCAGCGAAGCTTCGACACTTTACGTGACCTCAAAGTGCACCGGGCCTGGCATAGGCGCGAAAGTGACCTCACTTAGTAGCGAATGGCGGGTATTGGTATTGGACCAAGACTAATTTAGATATCACCATTGATGACAGTCTATACAATTAGACTGAACACAAAGCACGTTAATTGGCACAATAATTTACTTCAACATATTGTTTAAACCACTGGTTATTTTGAACAAACTTTTACTTACAAAAAAAACATCTAAAACGCATGAACTTGTTTTTAAGGACTGCTATATTTTAGATATCGCATTTCAAACGTTCTCGAACAACCATATTTACGATTGCAGATGGACAATCTTATGGTAAATTAACGGATCACGATATTGCGCTAAATATATGGATCAATTCATTTACCGAATGCTTTTACACGTGACTTTCACGCAGATACACAAGACACGTAAGTAATTGAATAAATGCATTTGTATGTCAATGTTACGTGAGTGCACGTTGGAGTAATGCATTTTAGCCAATTAAGTTCCTTAATAGCAGCCCAAAGTTACCACCAGTTGTCCCGACATTAATTTCGAACGTGATCCACATACAAATGTGTTACCATTCTAATACAGTATTTAAAAAAATAAGAAATACAGTAGAACTTATTTATGCTACTAATTGCATAGACATTTAACTGCAGGACTCGCGTCTGGCACTTGAATAGCAGTAACTGTGGTGTCTGCTCTCCCCAGCAACAGGTTGCAGTCGTAACCCTGGCCACTTGTTAACTTCAATGAAGCGATAATTTCACATCAACCACCAATAAGAATGTCTACGCTCGCATACATTCGTGTATAACGAGAAGTGGAAGTAAATATGTAATACGTGCATCCAGTTCGAATTTATGCAGTTAATTCATGTTTTGAAGATGAAAAAAGCACATACTGGACATGTGTACATAACTACTTATACTTTTGAACTTGGAATTAAATTTAGCTTTTTTTTCTAGGAGCTCTATATAATATATCATATAACGTACATGCAACGTTGCTACAACGTTGTAAAATCCATCCTGATATACAGTATATGGTGAAACGTTATAAAAACGGTTATTTCAAACATACCCAAAGTGCAACCTTAGGCAGCGCTGCAGTAACGTTATGGGATATATTCCTGTTGCATTATGGCCAGGCAATAACCCATTGAAACAAGGAGTTTATTGTTCAAATGCAGCTGATGTTTAACAATGTTCTACCGCATATATCTGGGTTGATGAGATCAGCTCATGGTGCAGGAATTAAATGGATTGTGGCATCACTGGACCATGAGGGATTGAGACTGTTTGGGGAACCCTCCATAACAAACAATAGCTGATGAGTATTATGCAATCCATTTCAAATACTGCATTAATATTTGCTTACTACTCAAGCAATGGCAGCCCTTGGCAAGTGGTAGAAATCTAATATTCTCATGATGGAATGAGAATAACCACCCCAAATTGGGATTTGCAATATTCCTATTGTAAGTCATCCTCCTCCTGGGGTCGATAAAACGAGTACCATTTTGTGAGAAGTCATCATTCTTCCAATATAGTGCATGACATCTGCAGCTGTAAGTATGTCAGTAAATTAACGCGTAATTTTTTTGATAATTATGGCTGACATCGTGTGCTGGAGTATTAGCAGAACAAGCCACACGCGTATTTGTAAGTGAATTCATTTCGGCAATTAAATAATTTGTCCAAGCTAATTGGGAAGTGCATGCATAACCATTTAATGCATGCACTTGTCAGTATGGCATCGCAAACACATTTCATTCAACAGTCGTACTGTATTTACAATAAAATTATCTCACAGAATATAATTAACGGTAAAGGCACAAGCATATTTCAACTGCAATCTTACTTTTCACTGCAATTCACATACCACTGCTACTAAGGATACACGTGAAAATATGCATTTGTATGTGTTTATATTACGTCAAATGTACTAGGTTATCTTTCACTTGATAGTGTATGGGAAGTGCTGCTTATTCCATATTGTCCACCACGGGCATCGGATACCCACTAGAATAGGCAGAAACATAACGGCAAGGATAGTTGATGTCAATGGATATGAAGTGAGGGAATATTAGATGTACATTGTATGTGCATGTAAGACAAGTAGCTCATCTTTCGTAGAATTACTTCAATTGCAATGATTGCTGTGCTGTCACCATTTTAAAACCAATTCATAACGGCAAGGATAGTTGATATCGATGGAGATGAAGTGAGGGAATATTATATGTACGTTGTATGTGCATGTAGGACAAGTAGCTCATCTTTCGTAGAATTACTTCAATTGAAATGATTGGTGTGCTGTCACCATTTTAAAACCAATTCATAACGGCAAGGATAGTTGATATCAATGGAGATGAAGTGAGGGAATATTAGATGTACGTTGTATGTGCATGTAGGACAAGTAGCTCATTTTTCGTAGAATTACTTAAATTGAAGTGATTGGTATGCTGTCACCATTTTAAAACGATTTAATCAACATTTGTACAATTGTTCATGGATAGTACTTTAATAAAAGAAAGAAGAAAAAAAGCTAACCGTTGCAAAGTCTACATTCTTTCAAATAAAACACGAGTGCAGTACAGCATACGTATATTCTCGGCACGTCCCAAATGTCCCTAGAGGCCCGGGGCAAAAGCCACACGGTGCCCCTTACTCCATCATTGTGGGCCCCTCATTTGTGTAAGGTTAGAGTTAGGGCCTCAGTCAAACATTGATTATAGTGCCCTGCAAATTTTAGAAATAGGTACAAATAAAGGGTATTGGGTGTCTTTAATTAGCTATTTTGTGTATGAAAGACCAATGTAACAGAAAAAATATGTAAGACTTTATGTAAACGATTAGAAACTCACCAAAAAAGAAAGTGCATGCAGGGTAGGCACAAACAAGGCCAATGTATCATATAAGGCCAATATAATATGCTCAATACAACCACTTATGATTAAATCTTATCATTTCGTGTACGGGCCATTACTCTCCATCATGCAGTTATTTCAAAATGTCCTTTAACATATACACATTTTCCAGTTAAACCTACAATTGACTGCAAAACAATTCTTATACAGCATATTTCCCATCAAAGTCTATACCATTTCAGTGTAAAAACTCCATGCAGTTGGGCCATTCACATTTGCTCCAGTTTTTTCTCTATAGTCCAGTTATTGCAAAATAAAAATGTATAGGCTTGCGAGAATGCACTGTTAGATGTAGGCCTCCCCATTTTGCATACATGCTGACAATATTTGACTGTCGACCCTTAACTTGTTGGTGAAAACCCTGCTGTTAAACCAGAATTATAACAAATAAAAATAAAAAACCTGATAACTAAGTATGAATTCATTGCTACTTTTAAATGCAAACAGTTCTGGGTTCATATAATCGCTGCAATTTGAGCGACCACAAATCTCAACTTCACTGTTGAATGGCAAAGGGCTATATCTGGGAAAATTTGATTTGTTAAGTGCTGTAATCGATAACCGATTATTGTTTCGATCACTTAACGAATCAGAGAACTCCTAAATAGTTGGGGGGAAAGTTCTAAACTGTTTTGCCATGTATGCCGCTAGACAAGATGTGATGGATGGTCTTTGGTGACGTCATCTGTATCATCAACTGCGTATTCAGGAAAGTTTACATAACTTGTGTCGTGGGGTTTTTTGATAAATAGAAAGAAGCATAGAATAACTTGAATTGAGCATTGATTGTCCTTAGCTTTCAAAAGGGGCCCAAGTAATAGTCCACAAAATAACTAGTAGATTAAAATCTGCAGTTAATCGATTAATGTCCCCAGCTCTATCGACTAAACAGCTGGCTTGGATCCCTTCTGAACCAACGCGACTGCCTTATTAGCCTCCTCAATCCCTGTGCCGACCCAGGGTCGCTTGACCTCTTCGCCCTTGCACTTGCGACCCAGCGCCTTGCCCAGCATTCTGGGCCCTGTGGCTTCGGGGGAATCCGAGCCGGCTTCACCGCCATCGCCAGCCTGCTGTGGCCCGTCGGTGCCCGTTGGACCTCCCTTCTCGAGCAGGTCGAGGGGCAGCAGGGCACCGGCGACCTTGTGCAACTTGGGGGTCAGCAGGTCGGTGGCGGAGACCTGCTCCTTGAGGCCAGACCACTGCACGGCCTGGGAGGTGATGTCACCCATGCTGCTGCGGGTGCGCTCTGAGAGGGCACGCAGCCAGTCCCCGATCATGCAGAGTAGAGCCGCAAAGTACGCCATGCCCACCAGCACCCACAGCCACACGAGTGGCTTGTATCCATCAAAGTAGATTCGATCCGGTTTGCTGCCTAGAGGTGAAGAGACACGACGATTTACTTAAAATACTTTTTTTTTACAAAATTTTACCCTGCTTATGCTACCGGTGTCATATTGTGAGATTACCTATGCATGTGAATCTCTGCAGAGCAGTGCAACGGTCCCTGTTAGAATACAGCACACAGAAGTGGATACCACAGAGATACTTCTGAGATGTATTCAAATGATCTCTGGTCAGTCGGAGGCAGCACTTTCCCACCTGCCCTGCCAGGAATTACTGTTTGTAGCGTGACTGTCAAGCCAATATTTTTGATTTTCAGATATGCAATGTATCAAAATGAATAGAACAAAAATTTATGTTACGTGTTCTTTGTTCTGATATTGGTGACCAGGCTGAGACTATTGGCTCACTCCACGTGAGGTGCCAGTTTAACCACTGGTGGCTCTGTGGATACGAACCTAGGATATCAGTGGTGCCAGCTCTGTGCTCTGATCTCTGAGCCACTCGACCCACGCAGGAGGTTTTGCTTTGAACACTTTGTCCATTGCCATCCGGTACATCAAATTATATTACTAGCATCTCAGTTGAGAGTTATTTTCATCACAATATTCATCGCAAAAAGGGAACATGTGCTTTTGGGTGTGTTTCCTCTTATGGCTGCCACTTCATCATTGATCTGGAGCATTGGCAATCTTCCTCCCTTGTGATGTGTCCTGCCGGTGTCCAATGTCTTTTCTTAACAGTCAATGTGATATATGATTTGTGTTTGTTGTCTGTTCTGTGGGTTTTCTTCCTTTTTTCACAACGTAATTCCATACACCTCACCGTGCCTCATCTTTGGTTCTATTGTTCTTGATTTAAAGCTTTCGTGACTACTAGGATCCATACTCTTTGGTTCTATTGGGCAAAGTCACGTAGGTGAAAATAAAAGAACAAAAAATCACGACGTTTCGGCCACAACACAAGCGGCCTTCATCAGGTGAAGGGACGAGACTGTCTGGAGGAAACGTCGTGATTTTTTGTTATTTCATTTTCACCTACGTGACTTTGCCCAATAGAACCAACGAGTATCTATTGTTCTTGTCAATGTCCACATTTCTGGTCATCCGTCATAGAATAATTACAGTACTCTGGAAAAGTGTATCAAGGTTCTAATTGAATGGGACATTTGCTTATGATGCATTGCCAGTGGCTTACAAGCAGCATTCACAAAAAAACTCAACATATTTGTCAATCACTCTGTGGATACTCGGTGACTTTTCAGGCAATGGCCCTTCTTTAAAGCACATTTATGTGGCAGGTAGTGTTAATGAGGAATGTGTTGAATTTTCAATGTACATGTAATGGGTAAGGGCTATTTATGTATAAAGTTAATGATGTAATTTAATAAATACTTTGTCAGGAAATATATATTTTTAAATGAACTCTAATTACAACTTAACACGTAGGCTTTCGCGACCAATATTATCAATAATCGGGGTTTTTTTTATTAGGCTCACAGTGATGACATCACCGTTGCACTATTGAAGACCGAAACAGGAGGACTTCTTCACAATTCTGGCTAATCGCCTGATGAAGCTGGTTGTAATCACCAGTGAAACGTCGCACTCGAATTGTAAATGTTGTGGGTTTACCCTCCAACACACCGATGTGCTGAAGAAGTTTACTAATTGGGACCTTTTGTTTACATGACAAACCTTACTAATTCGCTCTGTCAGGTGGTGGCGGCTTAAACGACACACTTGTATTTACGCGATGGTCCCAAAAAACACCTCTTTATTATGTAATTACAATACTACAAAATGAACGTATTAATAATTTATTGCAGCAAACTGCAGCGCGTCGCGGTGCGCGTGGGACTGACCGGCCACAAAGTCTCCGAAACCGATGGTGGTGAGCGTGACGACCACAAAGTAGACGGCTTCCAGCGTGCTCCATTCCTCGATGTGCATGAACACGGCGATGGGAACCCCTCCAAAGAGCATCAGCCCCACGAGGATGAAGAGCAGCGCCGAGATGACACGGATCCGGTCCGCGCTCACGTTCCAGCGCTGGCACGCGAACGCGGAGACTCAGTGCACCAACACGCCCCCACCAGTGTGGTGTACAGTCAAACAGCCCCCGTGTATTTATGTTGAACTTCTTTTGGATCGTAGGTAGCCAACCATGCTAGTCGGAGGTGCAGGGGAAGGGCAACAAACTAATACGAAAAGCAATTGTAAAGAAAAAAAATTCAATCTAGATTTTAAAATGCATAGCTCCAGTGGCTTCCTAATATCAGAAGGAAGAGCGTTCCAGACGGCCGCAGAAGTGCATCCAATGAATTGCGCCTTCATGAATGTAAATAATAATTATTATTTACCCTTTCCCCATTCCGAGGCGCCTGCAAGTTGGAGGATGGGTCCCGTTCACCGATGAATCTCGGAGCACGCAAACGGCTCGGCGTTAATTTTATTCAGAGAGGCGTAGCGCTGTTGTTCGTACTCACCCCAGAGAACCATAGCGACACGACCGCACTCTACGATAGCTGGGGCCAAACTGTGCCACACGCCCTCCCACATGGCCTTGTCGGAGCCTCGATACCGATAACATTATTTTCTTTTCTTTTTTATTCTGGTTTCGTTTTGCTGATGATGTACATGTACAGTGAGGGAAAAAGTATTTGATCCCCTGCTGATTTTGTACGTTTGCCCACTGACAAAGAAATGATCAGTCTATAATTTTAATGGTAGGTTCATTTGAACAGTGAGAGACCGAATAACAACAACAAAAATCCAGAAAAACGCATGTCAAAATTGTTATAAATTGATTTGCATTTTAATGAGGGAAATAAGTATTTGACCCCCTCTCAATCAGAAATATTTCTGGCTCCCAGGTGTCTTTTATACAGGTAACGAGCTGAGATTAGGAGCACAGTCTTAAAGTGCTCCTAATCTCAGCTTGTTACCTGTATACAATACACCTGTCCACAGAAGCCATCAATCAGATTCCAAACTCTCCGCCATGGCCAAGACCAAAGAGCTCTCCAAGGATGTCAGGGACAAGATTGTAGACCTACACAAGGCTGGAATGAGCTACAAGACCATTGCCAAGTAGCTTGGTGAGAAGGTGGCAACTGTTGGTGCGATTATTCGCAAATGGAAGAAACACAAAAATTACTGTCAATCTCCCTCGACCTGGGGCTCCATGCAAGATCTCTCCTCGTGGAGTTGCAATGATCATGAGAACGGTGAGGAATCAGCCCAGAACTTCACGGGATGATCTTGTCAATGATCTCAAGGCAGCTGGGACCATAGTCACCAAGAAAACAATTGGTAACACACTACGCCGTGAAGGACTGAAATCCTGCAGCACCCGCAAGGTCCCCCTGCTCAAGAAAGCACATTTACATGCCCGTCTGAAGTTTGCCAATGAACATCTGAATGATTCAGAGGACAACTGAGTGAAAGTGTTGTGGTCAGATGAGACCAAAATGGAGCTCTTTGGCATCAACTTAACTCGCCGTGTTTGGAGGAGGAGGAATGCTGCCTATGACCCCAAGAACACCATCCCCACCGTCAAACATGGAGGTGGAAACATTATGCTTTGAGGGTGTTTTTCTGCTAAGGGGACAGGACAACTTCACCGCATCAAAGGGACGATGGACGGGGCCATGTACCGTCAAATCTTGGGTGAGAGCCTCCTTCCCTCAGCCAGGGCATTGAAAATGGGTCGTGGATGGGTATTCCAGCATGACAATGACCCAAAACACACGGCCAAGGCAACAAAGGAGTGGCTCAAGAAGAAGCACATTAAGGTCCTGGAGTGGCCTAGCCAGTCTCCAGACCTTAATCCCATAGAAAATCTGTGGAGGGAGCTGATGGTTCGAGTTGCCAAACGTCAGCCTCGAAACCTTAATGACTTGGAGAAGATCTGCAAAGAGGAGTGGGACCAAATCCCTCCTGAGATGTGTGCAAACCTGGTGGCCAACTACAAGAAACGTCTGACCTCTGTGATTGCCAACAAGGGTTTTGCCACCAAGTACTAAGTAATGTTTTGCAGAGGGGTCAAATACTTATTTCCATGATTAAAATGCAAATCAATTTATAACATTTTTGACATGCGTTTTTCTGGATTTTGTTGTTGTTATTCTGTCTCTCACTGTTCAAAAAACCTACCATTAAAATTATAGACTGATCATTTCTTTATCAGTGGGCAAACGTACAAAATCAGCAGGGGATCAAACACTTTTTTCCCTCACTGTACGTCATCGGAACAGGAAATGGTGAAAAGGGAAAAAATATATACAGGTAGTCCCCGACTTACGATGGAGACGCGTTACGACGACCCCATCGTATGTCGAAAATATCGTAAGTTGAAAATGGCCTAGCCTACCCAGGAGTCTTAAAGAATGGTGATAATTGAGCAAAACAGCAATTTACAGTACCCTCTGTATAAACTATATACTGTATGTATTTATTAATTACAATACTGGATTGCACAGTAAAATTTAAAGTAAAAAAACAAGGTAAATTCTTAGCCTACCTATATGAACTGCAATTGCATAGAAAGTTTTTTTCAGGAAACAATCCTATCTGCTATAAAAAAAAACTTTTAACATGCATTGAAGGTATCGTATCGTGGTAACCCTAAAATGAAATCGCTAAAGCTACGTATCATACATGCATTGAACGTATCCTAACGTATCATATTCTACTGTACTCACCAAGATTCTGTCCGTCGTCTGCATACTTGAACGATGTTAAGGTTGTTGATGGCTACATTAACTTAGTTGTCGGAAGAGGAGGATGGCGATGATCAAGTTACAGTATCGTACCTCGTAACGCTGCTGCGTTTGCCTACCACGCGAAATAAAAAAAAATATTTTACAATTTTGCCATATCGCTATCGTAAGATCGAAATATCGTAAGTCGGACCATCGTAAGTCGGGGACTACCTGTATAGTCAATTAGACAACATTTTGGGCAATGGGCCTTCTCCAAAAGCACATGAAATTATTTTCTATGAAGAAGGACGCATTGCCCAAAATGTAACCAATTATACATTTCTCCTTTTCAAAGGCCACCGGTGTAGTGTAGTGATGAACGCGTCGAGTGTTTCCGTCCCAACAACGATGGACGGTACCATGAAGAGGCGCTCCACGTGCCCGATGCCCCGTCCGATGAGCGAGCCGAGCTGGTCGCCCACCCCCGCGAGCAGGAAGCCGAAGAGGGGGATGCCGAACAGGGCATACACCGTGCAGAAGGTGCGGCCGCCCTCCGTACTGGGGGACGGACTGCCGTAGCCTGCACGGAAGGTCATGTGGAGCGCAGCGCAAAGCAACGGGGTCACGCTGCTAACGGGAACCAGATGCTCCATTGATATGAACTTTGCTGGTACCACCAAGGCTGACCATCTCTCTTAAGGTGCACACACACACACACAAATAAAAAAACGGGACGTATCACAGTAAGAAGAAGAAGAATATCGAAAGAGGAGGAGAGCTACGTCGTGTAAATGCCTGGTCTTGAGCGTGTGTACTGATACGCAATTGACACAAACATATAGGACTGTTCATGTCCTGGGAAGACTTACGGATTTCCCCAGGACAGTTACAGGACACTTACCTCAACAGCAGAATGATTCTTGGAAAACCCAGGACAGGGTGTCAAGCTGATTACCACCTTAGACGGCAAAATGTAGTTACGTATATGTTTTTTACCAACCCTAGATTTACAGCCCTGAAACACTCTATACTGTTGCAATGGCCACGCCTGGAATACCAGTACAAGTGGTAAGGGGCCGTCCATAAATGACGTCACGCGATTTTGGGCGATTTTTGACCCCCCCTAGTCACACGGCGTTACAAAAATTCAGACCCCCCCCCCACTCAAATATGACGTCACAAAGCTCTGCCCCCCCCTCCCCCCCAAAAAATAAAACATGCTTCGAATCGCTTGTGGTGCGTATTTAATGTGGCGCTGCACTCTGATGTTGTAGGAGAAAATATTTATTAAAAAGTCCATTTAATTAAGTGGAACGTGTTGTCTATATTAATTTAAAGTTGCGCATTTTGATGTGACGTCACATTTCTCAACCCCCCCCCCCCTTCGTCACACATCGTCACAAATGTCTGACCCCCCCCCCCCCAAGGTGCTTGACGTCATTTATGGACGGCCTCTAACGTATATTTGCTCACAAATCATTGATTCCTTTATGTAATCAGATACTAATGCCTCTTTAAGGTCATGCAAGAGCCTGTAACATGTATACCGAAGACATCATGTCTGAATTTCGATTTAAAGCTTTCGTGACTGCAATGATTCATCTTCTTTGGTTCTTTCGATAAAGTCACGTAGAATGATAATAAAATAATAAATTGATAAAATAAAATAACACAATAATATTCTCACGACGTTTCGGCCACAACACAAGCGGCCTTCATCAGGTGAAGGGGGCGAGACTGTCTGGTAGGCGAGACTGTCTGGTAGGACAGTCTCGCCCCCTTCACCTGATGAAGGCCGCTTGTGTTGTGGCCGAAACGTCGTGAGAATATTATTGTGTTATTTTATTTTATCAATTTATTATTTTATTATCATTCTACGTGACTTTACCGAAAGAACCAAAGAAGATGACATCATGTCTGGTCCCCCGTGAGCCTTGGGCATTAACACTGAACCATGATAATTATAATGGTGCCTTAGCCTGGCTCGATATGCGCTATGGGCATTACATCGATTCCTAATAAGTTTGGAGTTGGTAGCACAGTGCCACTAACCGCTGCACCACCACTCCCCAAGAAAGCTTGTCTGTGTGAGTATACCATGCGACATAGTGGCTTGCAATGTATTCTCGCAGCAGGAGTATATTCATCTTCTTTGGTTCTTTCGGTAAAGTCACGTAGAATGACGAGACTGTCTGGTAGGACAGCGCTGTCGTGAGAATATTATTGTGTTATTTTATTTTATCAATTTATTATTTTATTCTCATTCTACGTGACTTTACCGAAAGAACCAAAGAAGATTAATCATTGCAGTCACGAAAGCTTTAAATCAGGAGTATATTCTCTACGTATTTTTTAACATGTGAAGCTAAAGCAATGGCCCAACACTGGTAACAACCACAAATGGTATTTATTCAACGCAAAAATGAAGACTCCACATGTATTAAAATGTCACCATGTTGCCTTTACCAGTGCGAGTTCAAATTACCATTAGCAGTCGATAAATGAGTACCGCGTTGTGGAGCGAAGCCAAACAGCGGTCGTGCTATTGAGACACTAAGCACCTGTCATGAGAACGATAAATTTCCACCATTGGCTCAGGCCTTGCAAAATTAAAACAATAACTTCGTTGAATATTTGAGCAGGCGGACTCTTTGACTGGGCTTGACTCATCAAGTAAATAATCCCCATTAGAATGACCGCAGGATTCCCACCGATGGTGGTGAGGACGGTGCCAGCAAAGAAGATGGCATCTCCGATGTCCCATATGCTGACTCCGGTGTTGTTGGTGTTGTTGGAGATTGGATTAACGCCAGCTCCCATCACCTCCACCACCGTCTGCCACAGGTTCAGGCACTTATCAAAATCAACAATAGCAGCAGAGTGTTATACGTTGAATTGACGGCGCTCAAATGCGTATATATGTATCTCGACGTGGAATGTGCCCGATCCCGTTATATCTCTGAAGCTAAGCAGTGTTGAGCCTGGATAATGTTTGAATGGGGTACCACCATTCATAGAACATACGTTGGTGGCTGCTGTGTAACTAACACTGTGGGCAGCAGAGGGGAATGGAGCAAACTTGATCGTGGTACTGTTCTTCTGTGCCCTCCATGCTCCCCACCACCTTCACCAACACACGCCCTGACCAGTGCGGTGTATGTGGTCAAATAACCCCCATGACCCGCACAGTATGGACAAGCCCTCATCCAGCAGTGCATGGACAAAGAGTGATACATGTACAGCTGTGGTAGATTATAGCCATGGAAGGCACGGCATTGAAATTAGTAGCTTTGTATATTATATCCGCGTTTTCAAACAAGCATTGTGTGGTGCTTATTTTGATTGGCGGCCCTAAGCCAGTGGTGGAAATTCCACATTCCTGTGGCAGACATCGTGGAGTCTATAAGACAATAACTTTTTACATCCCCACAATGTGATACATTACACATTTTACCGACCTCAGCCAGATGCATGAGTCAAATGACCCCTGATCAGAGTTTTAACTTGCAACCTTTATACTGTTAAAAGTGTAAGGTGAGCGCTCCCATACAGCATTACTTGGCCCGATGCTGCATATTGAAACACATGAGCATTCATGCATTTTTAAGGCCTTAGTCTTCGGTTGCCGCGACGTATAAGGTCAACAACAAAGAATCAGAGTCAAATGAGTCATTGAGCGATTGGTGCGCGAGTGGGAGAACGGCGCAGTCCAACACTAGGTCTGCAGCTACGCAGAGTGAAATTAATAAACGACGCAGCTTATGGTGCAGAATCTGTATTTAGACCGGAGGAATCCCATGAGTTATGAAGCGCTTTTTCACAGATGTCCAGTTAGGGCAGGTCAGACAGTTACAACAATACAAAAAAACGATAGGAGTGCGAAGTATAGGAAAGGTAAGCAAGTCACAATAAATAAATTTACATAAATAAAGTATATAAGTGCAAATCAGCACTCCCAGGTCTAGGTCGCACTCTTTTGGCGATCGGGCTTTTGTTAGCGTGGCACCCAAGCTATGGAACGCCTTGTCACTTGAAATCAGGTCATCAGAGTGGGTAGATATATTTAATTTATAATAAACGTTTTTTGGGGGGGTCGCGAAAGCCTACGTGTTAAACAGATATTTAAGTCTTCTTTAAAAACGAATCTCTTTAAAGTTGCCTTCCCTCTTTAGGTTTGGTTGGTTACCCTGGTTCTGTTTTTGTATCCTGCTTTTCATGCATTGCGAATTGGGATCCTAGGATGGAATGCGCATCATACAATTGATTTATTATGATAAAACTATATTAATTCCTCCCGATTTTTCAACAAATGCCAACTTGGCCAATGCAGCAAAACAACAACAGTAGTCCCAGACCACAGCAAGACAACAACACACAGTCCCTCGATATAATTTAACTATTACCCATGACAATATTTCCTCTTGCCACTCAATATTTGAATGCCATGGTCCCAGAGGCAGCTGCCTGCTCTGACTTCTGCCTAATTGACTTTTCGGAAAGTGTCACTCGCGTGGGTCTTTAAAGTTGAAGCAAGCAAAAGCCTCGGTTTGTACCCGTTCCTGTGTGCAAGCTACGTGAAGTTTCACGTAACCTATTAATTGATGCTGATATTCAGAAATTAATATATTTATATATCCATACATTGCTGGAATTAATTTGTATATTAAAACAAATAATTACATAAGTGCATGGGGAATTCAGTTGTAACATTCATTCTGTCTTGCTTTTATATGTATGAAAGTAATTGCAATACTCCCTTGGACGGTACTTTTGTTGATAACAAGGTGAGCCCATTGTAGCTGGGTTATGAAAACAAGTAGAGCTATACGAATAAAAATTCTGTAAAGTTATATGCCTGGTAGGTAATGACAATGCGTATTCTTAAACGGGTGAATAAAGGACATTTTTAAAACTCTGCCGAACGATAATCTTACGTAAAATGTTTCTTGTGTACGTTTGCATTTTACCTAGATTCATATTAGAGTATATATTATATCGTGTTTTTGCTGTTTCAGCAACCATACATAATACACAAATAAAATACTTGTCAGTAACACTTCGGTGTTAAATGGAAAAGTATATGATAGGCGACGTTTTGGGCAAATAATGAGGTCTGTAGAGATACCAGTGGACATTGCAGCAAAATAATTTGTAGTATCGTAATAATAATTTACATTTCTAAAGTGGCGCATTTCATCCGTAGATCCTAATGCGCCACCGTGTATGGAAAGCAGGAAATAAACAAAACGAGGGTAGACGGACAGAACTAAGAGGTACAGGCTAATTTAAAGAGGTGACTTTTCAAGACAGACTTAACTCTATCTAACAAAGGCAAAGCGTTCTCCAAAGCTTGTGGATCTGCACTGGAGTAAAGTGCGATCACCCCAGGAAATGCGCCTTGACTTCGGAGTATCTGAGAAAAAGGTGATCCGAAGATCTTGGGGACCTCATTGAGTATAAAGATGGATCAGTTCCTGTAAATGTTGTACTCCATTGCTACTGCATCTATGCTCCTTGCCTTCACTGACCCACACTGACTAGCATGGTGAATCATGGTCAAGCTACCCCCGCCATGTGGAGAGTTCCTGATTCAGCAGTGGGATTCACGTGAGGAATCTACTCGTGACAGACAGTGCCTTAAATACGGTCTTCATAGGCAAGGTTGTATGGTGGGGTGCTGTCAGGACAATGACGCATTCCAAACGAGTTAATATTTGGATTGCCTAAATTTAAATATTTTTTATTTTAGCAGGTAAGGCCGACTGAGCAAAATGGCCCTTTTTCATAAGCGACCTGGCCATCCCATATGATAGCTCAACGGAGTGGCTGACCATAATATGGAAGTTGTAAAGCAGCCAGATACTCTAAAGGCGTGTTTCTAAATGTGGAGGGAAAAACCGGAGGACCCGGCGAAAAATCAACGCCACCATGGGGAGAACATGCAAACTCCAAATATACAGCAGGCGTTCGGGATGGAACCCACGACTCCCTGTATACCAGGCGAGGTAGTTAACATCTCACCACCCTTTGGCACGTCTGACTGAACTGCAGACAATACAGGTACAGTAGAATGTACTCGTCTGTACAGTACATTATACTTACTGATGTTATCATAAATGTTTCTTTTTATTTATGAAATATTTACCTGCCGTATTATTATTGGCGATGTTACAGAAACTACAATGAAACCCTCTTACATTGCTCGTAAGATAGAAGCACCGCTGTCGGGAATGCATCACCATAAACAGTGCCGCATATACAATGGTATAATGACCCATTTTTTGCGCCGATTCGATGAGCGGCGCTCACTTCTCAGGAGGAATGCATCTTAAGCGCTAAGCGAGGTCTGCCTGTATTGCAAACGGTAAAAGTAATGCGCTCTACTGTATGTGTGTGGGTGGCATGGATGCGCGTGCCTGCATACACGAATTACCTTCAGCAGATTCTGCATGTCTTCAGGCTTCACGCACTTGTGCGTATCCAGGAAAGATTCCTTGGCGATGACCAGGTGGTTTCGCTGCTGCATTTCGTAGGGCCTCTCCAGCGCTCTGAAGACCAGCGCTCCTCCGAACAGGTATAGCACCACAACGCCCAGCAAGGTCAACACTGCCTGCCACTTCATCTTTGGCAGCTTTTGTTTATTGCCGGCTATGCCCACATCGGCATGCGTCAGTGATCCAGTCGCTGTGCCTGCCTGCACTATTATAAGTCGTCGACTTCGGTCTTGTTCGATGAGTATTTTTTTTGTACAGGAAGGTGGCTCGTCTTGATTGGAAAAATTATTGATTCAAACAGTAAACACAAATTGAATTCCTCTGCAATGCCAGTCTTGTGGTTGGACCGAAAACAGCGGGAAATTGTCTATGGGTCTCGATGGAGAGGAAGACAGCAAATTTTCAGTCGGAGAATTGGATTCGTGGTTTTGGCTCTGGATTTATTGAATGACCATTTTACCCAAATTCGCAGCTGTTACAAAAAACCCACACTTGGGTGACTCATGAGACTCATCGCCCATGATGTGTAATGCAATTTGCTTCGACCCATTGCCTCTCCTGATATATTGATAAATATATTCTGCGCTACAGCGGTTAATGTTGATCGTAAAAGATCAAAATGTGTTAGAATCCCACTATAAAGAGCTGATGTTGATATTTCTGCCGCAGGCAACCATTTATACGTACAATACAATTTACGTAGCGTTTAAATGCAACCGTATCCCCAGATGATTGGCAGGATATAGCTAGTCTTCGACATTATATTTTTAAGGATCTAATTTAATATATTCCACGTAAAATTGCCAACAGAAAAAACAAATTCAGTTCTGTATATACAGCCTGAGCGCACTCTTATCTCTCTGAAACTGTTTGGCATCGTTATCTTCCGTTGTCACTTTACGGTATATTACTGAAAAATAACTAATAAATCTGCTATTTTAATGTCATTCTTCACCGATGCGTGAGCCAACGTTGGCTGGCCAATGATTGCTGCCGTGTTGACTTAACTTGCGTACGCGGATACTTGTTCACGCTTTTGCTCCCGTTCAACCTGAGACTCTACTCGGGCGTTACAGCCATCCGTGCACGAGTCCTCTCACCTATCTTAGCCGAGTGCCTTGCAGCTAAATCCACGCCAGACTGTGAGCTGCCTATATATACCACAACGCGCACTCAGAACAACAATCGGGTTGGGCCCATTTGTTGAATGTCCCCCAGGGGTGCTGCTGGTTGCTACTTCTACTGCATCCTATTGAATTTACACATGAGAGATGGTAATGGTCATGATGAGACTTCCCCATAAGCTAGCTGCAATGCGGTTTGAAACTTGAGAAGCAACACTTCAAAATGACTAACAAGTAGCCCGTCGTGTGCTACAAACTCCTGCAAGTATTACAGTCGCTGGTGAAATGTTGCTGTTGTTGATTTCGTTTAAGTGCTCCCGATTAAATCTGACGGAGCCCTGTTGTAGGCAGACATGCGCTTGTCCAGATGGAGGCTGTCAGCTTCACTGCAAAGTGTATATGACTCTTGAGGGAAGGGGAATTGATTTTATTCTTGTATTATTTATTAATTCTTACTATACTATCATTGCTACAATTCCATGAAACATTTGAAACCCTAATGGAACCTTTTATCCGTGCATTAAGCGTGCATTTACCGCAGCTATAAATGATTTGTGATCATGCATATTTTAGAGCCTCCTTTTCGTCTTGGGTCGCCTTTCTGCTACAAGGGGCTTAATCGATACTCTTTGGTTCTTTCGGTAAAGTCACGTAGATGAAAAATAAAAATAATGAAAATAATAAAATGAAAATAAAAATAATAATGAAAATAATAAAATGAAAATAACTAAATTCATTTTATTATTTTCATTATTTTTATTTTTTTATTCATCTATGTGACTTTATCGAAAGGACCAAAGAGTATGGATCCTTGCAGTCACGAAAACTTCAAATCTTAATCGATGTCTGAGCCATAGTGCACCTATGCCGCATTACATACAACGCCATGTACTCTGGTAAACAGTATGTAATTCAACTTTACAATTAGGATTAAGGTCTATGATTAACAATGAAGAACCCGTATGACTGCATTATTCCTGCTCTCTGCGGGTAAGGGTATATATACACACACACACCGAGTGTTTAATTGCACTCCATTGTCTTATTACAGTACATGGAAGAATCTTGATTTGAAGCTTTCGTGACTGCAGGAATCCATACTCTTTGGTTCTTTCGCTAAAGTCACGTAGGTAGAAAGAAAAAAAAAGATCTATTTTTTTATACCTACGTGAGTTTACCTAAAGAACTAAATAGTATAGTATATGTAAGGTCAAAACCAAGTATTTGCCCAGCGATTATCACAACATGAAAAATTATGCACACGCGTGGATTCTGGTATGTTTTCCAACGTGGCGTTTTGTCCCTAGAAGTATTCGCGACGGTGACGGTAGGCGCCCACGTCAGCTGTGCAGGCAGCGGTAGGGTCATCAGCCGCGACGAGGACACCGGGGTGGCGCATCTTGGGCCGGCAGGGCTGGATCTCTGAGAACGACTGCTTAGCACCGTGAGGACGACTATTTAAGGGTGCATCTTCTTTGGTTCTTTCGGTAAAGTCACGTAGAATGAGAATGAAATAATAAATTAATAAAATAACACGATAAAATTCTCACGACGTTTCGGCCACAACACAAGCGGCCTTGTGTTGTGGCCGAAATGTTGTAGGCCGAAACGTCGTGAGAATGTTATTGTTATTCTATTTCATTAATTTATTATTTTATTCTCATTCTACGTGACGTTACCGAAAGAACCAAAGAAGATGAATCCTTGCAGTCACGAAAGCTTTAAATTGATATTTAAGAGTGCTTTAAACATTTTAGTTATCTCCGAGGACAGCTCTTTTATTGTTGGACCGTGTCTCCTAAGTTTTAGGCAACCTTTTCGATACATTTGGCCTTTTATCGATACGGTAAGTCCATCATACGCACACAACATTTTTACAAAATTTTCGTTGACATTCGACTTTATTTTTCACGAGTTATCGTTTGCAGGGCCGCGATGACACAACCGCCCTCGGATAGGGGCTCTAGCGGGGACGGTGGGGGGGCTTCGGTCGGTTGAGACAGGTCACCATGCGGCAACGTTTCAGTAAAGTTGTATCCATTATGGATAATGTTTTAAAAAAAAAAAATCATATTTCATGTGCCTGCAACCGTTACAGATAGACATACGGACGGAGCTAATGCTTAAAGGCACTCAGCCTTAAATGGAAATTCTCCAAAAAAATCCCAGTGCTTTGGGTAACTCAGGAATGAAAACTGCTTGCGGGAACTTCAATATTGACGACAACCTGAGAGAGCCTAAAATAAACAAAGCGTGAATTAAATATGAATCGGATGCGCAAGGTGCATTAATGGCATATTGCTCTTCATGCATGACCTATGAGGCATCATGTGCTATATTTATGAACCACGGGCAGTATCGGTTGTGTCTTTCATGCTTTCTTGCACTCTCTCCTGCTGCAGGCAGTGGGACATGTCTGATTTACTGCAGGGCTTCCCGTCAACATTAGTTATTGTGTCGGCAGACTTGGTAAAGTAATCCATATAATATGCTGCAGGTGTGGTTAAACGAGACAATTTGAAAGCCCCCTGCAATCAATTTCAATTAGATCACATATTTGGCAACACCTAGTGTTAGGAACGTGTAAGTGGTCAATGTGCACTGCTGCTTGTCGTAAACTGAATAGGTTACAACTTAAAATCACCAGTTTAGTGTTCTACTTTCTCAGCAGCGCGGTGTTACCAACCATTACATATTCTACATGCAACCACATCGCAATACGTTGTACAGAAACCTACGGGCATATTTATTTTATAGAAAGAGGCAGTTAGTCATATTTAGATGGAAACAAAAATTTCGTCTTGAGCCTGGACTTGAATAAAGGCAGGGATAGTGGGTTCCAGACTATGGAGGCAGCAGAGGAGAATGACAGACATACCACTGAGAACGTCGACTGGAGGCTTTTGACAGAAATCCGTGGTTACTGGAGCGTTGAGAGAAATGGAGTGGAATCGGGAGAGGTGAGAGGTCGGAGACTGCTTGTAGGGGGGAGTAGAATGAGTTCAGAGGGGAGATGTTGGTAGGGGCGAGTCCACGGATTGTAAGAATTTAAGTTATTTTTAAATTGATCCGAGATAATATTGAGAGCCAGTGGAACAACGGCAATATTGGGATGGTGTGGTCAAGTTTACAGGCGTGGATGAGGAGTCTCGCAGTAACATGTACAAAGAAACTGGGCAAGTCACCCCCACGCCTCAAAAAAACAGGCCTCAATCCCGACGACCCGGCAAGCTATTGATTAATTACCAATCTCTCCACCGTCACCAAACTTCTTCTGTCCAGTCCACCTTCTGTCAGACCTACTCCAGTGAGGATGCACTGACAAAGGCCCTCGATGGCAGTCTTTGCATTGTGGACTCCGGTTCAGTCGTCGTATTCGTTGGCCTGGACATCTCTGTGGGCACCGTCAAGCACCCTCTTCTCATTAGCCTCTTGGAATCTGACATCAGTGTCGGTGACCCAGCTCTACAATGGATTATGTCCCACTCAGAAATAAGTTTCTCAGGGTGGGGGAGTATTCATCTGCGGAAATCAAGTTCGCATGCAATCCCTCAGAGGTTTTGTCCTCAGCCCCCTGCTGTTTCTGGCATTCATGTCTCCTCTTAGCCACCTGTGTGAGAGCTTTGGTGTCAAACACCATTCCTACGCTTATGACACCGTCCTCTTTACCTCTGTCAATTCCATTTACACCTCTCAACGTGAAGGAATAGACTGTCGATATAAGTGTGTTCTTTTAATCGACTGCGTTCATTTCCGTATTTATTGATATGACTACTTTGGTATTGATTCTGTAGTCACGTTGTTTATACAAATTGTGATCTCAACAAATGTATCCGCTGCTGGATGAAGGCCTCCTCACGTTCGCGAGTGCAAACGGTGACGTGGGAAGCTCAAGGTCAGTTCAGATATCACTCCCCACTGATGTTCGCTGTGGCTAGAAATCAAACTCAAATAACCAGGTTCATTGTGCACTTTAAGCTAAAGGTTTTTTCACCAGGTAAAACCTCAATTGCAAGTGACTAATGCGCTGATCACGGCGTCACAGCTCCTCACATACTTATTACGGCACTGTAATGTGGTATAAAGTATTTAATTGAGAGTAGGGCCATTATACGCTTGGAAGATCCCTTTTCATATGCTTGAAATAAAGTACAGTATTGCATATTAAATATTTAAAACTATTACCAGATTACTGATTCTTCAATCATTAATAGGGGTGTAATGATGAATTCTCATTTCAGGGTTATGCTTCTATCCAACAATATATTCTTCGTGATATTTTTTGCATATGTTATTAGAGCATGTTTGTTTGCATGTTCACAAGTACGTGTGGTTAATATAGACATGATTCCTTTCAAAAAATTGTATTTAGTGTTTTATTGCCAGAAAGGGTAAAACACTATTCTTATGTTTTTCAATCGATTACACAATGTAACACAATTTTGGTCCCTGGGTACTAAGCGTTATTTTTTTAATTGCGTATGCCTAAAAAGTATAGATAATCGCTATCATTCCCCACAAACTTTGCTTTTGTGACCAGGACTTTATGTGAACGAAATACACAAATGCACACGTTTTCTCATTGAAAATAGATACATTTCAAAAATCAATGTCGTGGTCACAAAAGCAAAGTTTGTGGGGAATAATATCCATTTTCTGTACTTTTGAGGTATAGGCAATTAGGAAATAACACTTACTACCCAGGAGCAATATGTTTTTGTTTGTTACACAGTGTTATTTGTTTTACTTGTGATATATGTAGCGTCTATAGTGTCTGGAAGTGGATCACATGACTCAACTAGTCTATATCCGTCATCTATCAACAAACACCAATCAGAGCATGGAATTGTGTCCACGTGAAATGACATCCGATAATCTACACTCACCAGTTCAGCACGTTCGTCAATAACACTGTGGCTTAAAAAAGGGAAATATATAAATTCGGCGACGTTTCGGTCAATGGCCCTTCGTAATAGCACATGAAGGGCAATTTTACATTTACTTTTCAGGCAGTGTTCTTGACGAATTTGTTGGAACTTTTTTTGGTTCATGTTTGTTGCTTGTCCACCACTGCCAACTCTGTATTATAAATATAGGTTTGGTGATCTGTGCCTAACGCTGTAGCTGTGTTATAAAGTTGGGTAGGCTACGTGGATTTTCATGGAATTTAAGTTTTTTTTCATGAAAGGCTTCTTAAAATTGTAGCTAATTATAAATTTGTTACAAGAATGATCGATTTTCTTCTGAAAATGTACGTATAGTTTTGGTGATCTGTGCCTAACGCCTGACATTGCACGCTGTGTGAAATGCGGTGGAGACCACGTGGATCCGACTGACATCACAAATAATTATTATCCAGAATAGAATATTCTGCACAAAGCTGCGAACACCATCTGGAATGCCACCTCATGAATTGGTTTCTAGAGAAAAAAAAGGAACCATTGTGATGCCGATTCGAAAT